TTCTATTGATGGTGTCCTTTGCTGTACAGAAGCTTTTCAGCTTGATATAGTCCCACTTGTTCATTTTTGCTTTTGTTTCCCTTGCCTGGGGAGATATGTTCATGAAGAAGTCGCTCATGTTTATGTCCAAGAGATTTTTGCCTATGTTTTTTTCTAAGAGTTTTGTGGTTTCATGGCTTACATTCAGGTCTTTGATCCATTTCAAATTTACTTTTGTGTATGGGGTTAGACAATGATCCAGTTTCATTCTCTTACATATAGCTGTCCAGTTTTGCCAACACCAGCTGTTGAAGAGACTGTCATTTTCCCATTGTATGTCCATGGCTCCTTTATCGAATATTAATTGACCATATATGTTTGGGTTAATGTCTGGAGACTCTTTTCTGTTCCACTGGTCTGTGGGTCTGTTCTTGTGCAAGTACCAAATTGTCTTGATTACTGTGACTTTGTAGTAGAGCTTGAAGTTGGGGAGTGAGATCCCCCCCACTTTATTCTTCCTTCTCAGGATTGCTTTGGCTATTCGGGGTCTTAGTGATGGTCATTTTTAAAACCTACATATCAACCTTAGAGCCAGTCCACATTTTGTACATCATTTTCTCAAAGCTAATTAAAAGCACTTTGCCAGCTTTTCAGTTAATACCTAATACCTCATTTCTAAGGTTGAGTAGATGATTAGATTAATAAAATATAGAATTAATAGGAATTCTGTTATGATTTAATGCATATTTTATGGATTTGCCATTGTAGCAAATACCTAATGTAGATAAATTTAGCGTAGATAATTTAAACTTTCAGTAAAATAGGGTCCTTTTTAAGAACTACTTTGTGACTCTCAGGAACACAGGACAGTAGGAACTAGGTTCCTTCCTGATTCCTTCCAAGTACAAAACCTTTGTCATACTTTTATCCTTTTTTGTTTTAAGCCTTTCAGGTAAACAGAGCAAGCAGTAAGCTCCTTGTTTCCGACTTCTATGAGTAAATAAATGGTACTATCTGTACAACCATCATTTGAGGCCTTTCAGGGAGGACAGAAGCCTATCTATCAGCCTTGAAATCAAAAGACAAGAGGATGCCCATAAGCAAAAAAAAGGCACTGAACCCTTCTTCCTTGCCTTGTGGAAATGGCAGTGCCCTCTGGAGGCAGAAATGTACCTAGGCTTTGCATCTGGCAGTTGATAACCATTATCTTCGGCATACAAGATTGAAGTGATAAGAGACTCTAGATGTGTTAAGAAATAGTCCTTTTGCAGCATTTTGTAGCAATCATCTTGGGACAGTAAAGATTAATATACCAAGTAACTTAGATATTTCAATGTATGAAACTAATGATTCAAAGTATTCCTTTTTTTTAAGAGAAAAGATACTAAAAATGGGATACAAATGTTTGTTCTTTTCTGTCTTGCCTTTGCTTTCTCACAACTGCTTCCTGGACTTTGTCATTCTTAGGTCTTGACTACTCCCAATTCAGTGATATTTTTTCTGATTTTTAGATATTAGCATTTGTTGTCAGTTCCATTTGTTTGGCACTTACTTATGACTTTCCATTATTAGTTATCATCTCTATTTACACATAGGTCTTATTTGCTCTGTCTGGATCTTAAGCTCCTTGAAGGCAGAGATCTCTTCAGTTTCTTTGTATCTTAACATAAAACACACCACATAGCAGACAATTGTTAAATATTGATCTGTTGATTATAGTAATGAATAGAGGTAACCAGAAAATCCTTTTCATTGTTGACTTTTAACTGTAAATATTTCTTAGAATTATTATACTTAGTGTAATTTATGGAATGAAATATTTTATTATTGAAGATTGCTTCATTTTAAGTTCATTATTCTTAACATAAAATTTAGTTATGTAGACAGAGATATGGACAGCGTAAGAAGACAGGATAGTTTCCAGTCTAGTTCTTGGTGCAGAGCTACATAAAGCTGTTTATTTTTCCAGAATTACAAATGGTAGAGATAATATGAATTTTAGTGGGTTTTCAGAGGTGGTGCCTGGCACATAGAATGTAGTGTAAATGCTTCATGTGACATTCTAGGAAGTGAGACAAGTGGCAGTACCAAAGCCAGCATAGTTATCCCCTTCCCATGTCTCACCTGTATGTTACTTTTATTGTTTGTTAGTTGTTGAGTGGGTATTTTTCCTATCTCCTTGCCTAGACTTTCCTAGAATCTGTTGATTGGCTACTGTTAAGGTAATGGGCATACCCAGAAATTGACTTCTGCAGATAAGTTGAAATACAATTTTTTTTGAACTTCTCTTTATAAGGGTTTGAATAATAATTGATTGGGAACATACTGTGATGCTTTGTGTTTGATTTTTTTGTTGTTGTTTTTATGCTGAGTCCTTGGCATATGCTTGTTCTTTTGTCGTTTATTTGACTGCAGAAAAACATTCTACTTCTAATCACCTTCTAGGCAGGTTTGTCTGGTTAATACAGGTTTATACTATAGTATTACTTGGCTATATTTGAATTAGAAAAAGTAATTCCTTAAAAAATTTTCTTTATGTTATTTGTTAGTCTGCTATCAAGACAGTATACTCTTTAGTTCAAAACTTTTCAAAATCCAAACAAAATTTTAATCTTTTAAATATGTATATTAACTTAATCAGTTTTTTTCTCTATGAAGGACTATTTAATATATTACTGTTTTTTCACAAATTCTCAAACCTAATTTTTTTAGGGCTGGTCTAGTTCCCTACTCTTGTACTAACTAGTTCAAACTGTCCAGAGAACAAAATTGTTCTTAAAGGTATTCTCTTTATGTAATTCTCATAGCAATATTGAATTTTGATATTATCAAGGAAGGAACTAAATGAAAACTTATTTACCACATGAACATTATGTGTGTAGAGTGTACTTCTCTGGATATTAATTGGAAAGTCACAAAGATAATCAGATTTAATTTCAATGCTTATTTTTTGAATTATTTTCATGATTTGATAAAAAGCCTTCATTGAAAAATACTTTCTTATCCAGAAATCATAATCTCTTCATAATTGCTAATGATAATCTTCTCATTTTATTTAGATTAATTTAAAGTTTGGTATCAGAAAACCAGAAGCTCGGACAGGAACGGAGACAGATACCTGTACAGCTTGTGCAGGTACCTTGATCCTTGAGTTTGCTGCTTTAAGTCGATTCACAGGAGCAACAATATTTGAGGTTTGCTTTCATAGTCTTTGATCTCCTGGGTACTGGGCATAACTAACTCTATGTTTTCTTCATTGGTCAAATATTAGCATTATCATTTGGAGGATTTCTATTATTTTAATGAACATTTGCCTAAATTCCATCACATAGTCTTTGTCAAAAACATAGAAGTCACTTTGAGGTAGCTATGTTACATATGGCTTTGCATTTTTTTCAAAAACTATAAATTTTTAGATTTATTCTTAGCAGATTTTTTAGCCATATTACTTACATGAATTCATATAACAATTGTCTAGATGAAATACTGTGTCTCTGTTTTATTTGTTAGACTTCTAGATGGTCTATTGCATTTCTGAAAACCTCACTAATCTTCTAAAACAGTGAAAATGCTTTTTATTGTATCTAACTGTTCAAATGTGTCAGTAGTAACACAGAACACTCTTTTTCAAATGTGACTTTGGAGAATTTCTTTTTTTTAACTCAACATATTGTACACTTAAAGCAAACGAACTCAGGTGGCCTTTTTGTGTATGATGTTCAAAGTTTCTTAAGGATGGATTTATCATGTTTGGTTTCATTTTAATTCTGTACCTTGTTGACTAATATTTTTTATTCATTAGAAAGTGTAGTCACTTGTGGATACTGCCTAATTTGAACTACAAACTCTCTCAGATACCAGTGAATTTATAGGTGAATAAAGTGAGGCTCAAAGAGCATAAGATGCACAGCTAGTGGGTGAATGGGTGGAACTGGAGTTAGATGCATGCCTTTCTGAATGCGAAGTCCATACTTTTTCCAATCACTATTTTGTATTTGTGAGTAAATCTATGGAAAATTTTTTTTTTAACTTTTTGAATGTACAGTAAGAGAAGTATGAATGTAGACTACTTCAATGTAGTGTAAGAGAAGCAACCTGATGCAGTTGACAAAGGATCACTTTATACAGGGTTGGCAAACTAGTGTCTGTGGGCCAACATCTACAATGTTTTTGTAAATAAATTTTTATTGGAACATAACCATGCTCATTTATGTATTTTTCTGTTTCTCTGGCTGCATTTGTGCTACGCCAGCAGAATTGCATAATTATGTCAGTGACTATATGTACCAGAATGCCTAAAATATTTACTGTCAGGCCCTTGTCAGAAAAAGTGTTGACTTGTGGTTTAACATATAAAGAGATCTGAATTCTCATATTAACTGTCTTATATTTTAGTTTAAACCTTCATTAAATCTTTGATTTCGCTGGGCCTGTTTTCTTAGCGGTTAATTAGGTATAGGGAAATAAAAGTCCTTATGAAACTTTCCATCACTGAAATTACAGCATTTAATTAATGTTGTAATATGCTCTGTTTTAAAAAAATCAGTGTAAACAGGTAGAATCAAGAATTAAAATTATTTTATACTCTATTCTTAAATCTGCAGTGACAAATTGGCTTAATGATTTTTTTTCTTTCATAGAAGTACTTCTGCAATGCTGAATAGATTCATGCTCTGAAATTAATTTTAATTTAGAAACTCTGTTGTACATGTCCTTAGCTTTTATGTTTTGTAAAGATCTTTTCATCCAAAGCCAAGAATTTGATTAAAAGCAATTTTAATTTGGTGTCCAATGGATAAAAATAAATGAAAAGAAGAAAAAAATGTCATAAGGTTATAAATCTGATATTGTTAAATGAATACTAGTTGATTTAAGTAAAGCAACTCTTCACAAAGAGAGATAGTTACATGCTATTTAAAAAGTGGGATTTGAAATGCCTGTTTGTGGTTCAGATATAGCTTCCCACCTTTGAAATCCTATATTAATTTTCTAAATAAGTATATATAAGGAGATTTTTACTTTGCACTTAGATGATAGATATTATTTTAATAAGTGCATTTAATTATGGCAGCAATTAATATAATTTAATAGTACATGTTTGTGAATGTGTACTGCAAAAGTAGATGAACATGGATAGTCTCAAAGTGAGATCACTGCCACTAAATAGCAGTTTTAGAGTCCTTTTTAACTAGACTTGATTGGCTGAGAAAGAGCCAAGATTTAACTTGTAAAAAATTTAATATATATCATAAATATTATCTTATTTTATTTTCTTATTTATTTATCTTTAATTTATTTTTTCTAATTTTATTTATCTAATTTTATTATTATCTAAATTTATTATTATTATCTAAATTATATAATTTTATTTATCTAAATTTATTATTAAATTTATCTTATTTATTTATTAAGGAATTTTACTTAATCTTTAAAATATGCTGTGAGCCTGTGATTTTGGTTTCTTTCCTATTTGTCAGAGACTTATAGTTCTTCAATTGTGCTGTTCTTTTTGTAATTATAGGAATATGCAAGAAAAGCTCTTGATTTTCTCTGGGAAAAAAGACAGCGAAGTAGCAATTTAGTGGGCGTGACTATAAATATTCATACTGGAGATTGGGTACGAAAAGGTATGTTGAGTTGGGCCTTTTAAGTCAAGCCTTCACATCCTCAGAATGGTTGGGAAATAAAGGATTTTCATTTGTTAAAATGATCTCTGGGATAGCATAAAGCATAGTTTCTCCAAGATTGCTGGAATTTCAACTAATCTAGCCTGGTTTTCTTCTTTGGTGCCAAATAGTAGCACACTTATTCTAGATGACTTTGTGTTCCATTTCATACCTTAATGAGTATATCATAGATATAGGCATAGAAGAAATACTAGAGCTAATTTCTTTCAGGACTAGAGGATCAGAATACTTCAACCATCTCATATCAAGATATAGTTACGTGGAAATCTGTATTTAATAATATTATCACCAGTCCTTATTAAGATGAATTGGAATCAGGAGACAAATGTTATATGAACAAACAGGATATAGGATTGTATAAAGAAAATGGTTTCATCTTTATAAGATACCCCTATAGAAACAAGCATAGACATACAACTATACTAAAATATTCCTAATAAGATTATCTTTTTTATACTTCCTCTATATTCCAAAAATCTTATGTTGTTATGTATAAAATTAAAAATAACTGCCTATTTTTAAGTAAATTAAAATGATATCATTATTAATTGAATTTACTGAAATAAAAGTACTGCCTCTAGTTAGTATTGTATAGTTTTTCCATGTTTTATCTACATGGTTCCTGAAAGTAATCTAAATCCTGGTTTCTGAATTCTGCAGTTTCTTTTTTTTAACCTGCTTTGAAACTCAGGGGCAAATTAATTAATCATAATTAAGTTTAATCATAATCCTTGGTCTGTGACATTGTCGTCATTGGTCCATTTGTGACCTGTTTTGCTTGGTCATTTTGAACGATGTAATAAGCACTCATAAATGGACCATCCATCACAAAATCAACTTATTTGACAATATATTACTTCTGCTTATGGTTCTTGACTTTCCCTACCTTTGCAATCCCACACCTCTACCTTCTCCAATTGGATAACCATCGTTCTTATCTTGTATTTGTCATTCCCTTGCTTTCCTTTTAGAAAAGTTTTAGTACATCTTAGATATTTTGAAAGGTATATTTTTTGTTTAAACTTTATAAAAATATGTCATATGTACCCTTTTGAAACTTTTTACACTTAATAAGGTGTTGCTAAGATTCATGCATATTGTTGCATGAACGTGTAGCTTACTCTTTTTGACTGGTATATAATATTCTATTGAATGAGTTAACCATTATCTATGGGCATTTAGATTGTTTCCAGGATTTTACTATTGTGAACAGTAGTGCCATGAATATTTTTTATGTTTCTCCTGTTGTATAGTGATTTCTCTGGGCTATATATCTATGATTGGAACTTTTATATCATGGGTAAGTTAATGTTCAACTTAAGGAGATTATATCAAATTGTCAAATTTGTTTTCAAAATTGTCTTTTGAAGAAGTTTCACCTCTTTAAACTTTCACCAGTGACATAAAAGAGATGCTATAGATCAACATCCTCTCCATTTGTTGACAGACTCAAAGAGTTTGCCAAATGGGTGCACAAAGGATTTCCCCTTGTGGTTTGATTTTTATTTCTTTGATCACTAATGATGTTGAAAACCTCTTTATGTTTACTGGGCATATGTTTCCCTTTTTTGTTATGAATGTTTTTGTATTTTTTCTATTTTCTATTGGGTTTCTTATGCTTTAAAAAAATATTGATACCTATATGATACTTACAATCTATGTGATAACTATTCTTTGAAATTTATTGAAATTTTTTTGGCCTAAAACATGGTCAAGTTTTTGAAATCATTCCACATGTGCTTTAAAAAATATTTTTTCTAATTGTTGGGTTTATATTTCTATATATGTCAGTTTGCTCAGTTAATATACAGATCCTTACTGATTTTCTGTTTGTTTGACCTATCATGAATTAAGAAAGAAAGGTGGATAAAATTTTTGATAATGATAGCAGACTTCTTAATAGCTCCCGGTAGTTCTGTTTTTTGCTTTATTATGTTATTAGGTGCATTCATTTAAAATCATTATCTTTTCCTAGCTGAACCTTTCATCATTATATAATCATTATATATATATATAATCATTATATAATCATCATCTCTAATGGTACTCTTTGTCTTAAAGTTTATTTAATCTGGTAGTAATTTCACCAATTTAGAATGCTTAGTTCCTTAACATCAGCTTTATGTTGCTTAATATTTACTTAAGTATTTTCTGCCCTTTCACTTCAAGTCTTTGCAGGTTGTGACTCCTGTAAAATTTATAGATTTTTAAAAAGCCATTTGTCAGTCTTTATCCTTTAATTGGTGAGTTTAGTTCATTTACATTTATTGCTATTTTTAATATATTTAGATTTATTTATACTATCTTAATTATTTCAGTATGTCCCACCTTTCCTGTGTTTATTTTTTAATCCTTTTGTTTTTAATTGAAACCTATAGTTACCTCTTAGTAAAATATGAACTTAAGCATGCCCTCCCATCCCTTGTCTCCCTCCCACCCCAACTCTCATCCATTGTTATGTTGATACCATATAGATACTTGATTCTTATTCATTATGAGTATGTTTTCTGTTTTTTCTTTTGGTCTTAGTACCACCCTTCTCCCTGTTTCTTTAAAAATAACAAAGTTTATCAAGGTATTTGGTCATTTGAACTTTATTGCTTGCAGCATCTCTAGATTTGTCTCTCTTCTTATCCCAAACTGTTTTCAGTAGATTTTAATAGCTTCCGATACCTTATATGCCTAACAATAACTTTATTATGCTTTCATGTTTGAGTAACAGTTTGACTGTATATAATTTCCTGTGCAAGTTCTTTCCTTTCAAGCCTTTGAAAATACAACTCTATTGTCTTCCTACATCCTGCTTTAAAAAAACTCATATTATTTGGATTTTTATGCTCTTATGTGTGATCTATACTTTTTCTATGAAAGATTAAGAATATCAGAGGCAAAGAGAAATTTCTAAAAGAATCACTAGGTGTAGAATTTTCTTTCTGTCTCCTTTTAGGATCCTGTGGGTTCTTTCTAGTTAAAATCCTTGTTTTTTGAACATAAAATCTTTCTTTTTATTTTAGATGTTTTTATCCTTTTCATTTTCATTTATCTCTATGCAGTTCCTATTATCTAAATTACTTCTGTTTCTGTCCTCCATATATCTTAGCTTTCATTTTTTCTTTTTTTTTCCCTGCCTTTCTTCTGGAAGATTATTACCTGTCATCTTCCAACTTGCTAATGTGTTCCTCAGTTGTTTCCTTTCTGCTATAAATCCCATCTATTTTGTTACTTTATTACTATTTTTATCTTACATACTGCTGATTTTTTAAAAACTTCTTACTTTGTATTGCTAATATCTTCTCTATCTCTTTAGAATGTTTGTTAGGCTAATTTTAAATTCTTGGTTTGCCTGTTCTAGTATTTCTTTTTCTAATAAATTCTTATTCCAGTACTTGCTTTTTCTTTTTAAAATGTCTTGCTTCTTAAATGTTCTTGGCCTATAAGTTTATATTCCCTTGCCACCTACTTTGTGGCAGCATCAGATTCCATTTCCTATAAGCTCCAATGATTTTAGGGATGACTTCTAAGAAGTTTTTTTAAATACCTATTCCTGGACCCCCTAGAAATTCTGATTTAATTGTCCTGGAGTGTGCCCTGGGTATAGGGATTTCCAAGATTGAAATTGTAATTATAATTTAGATTGCAATTCACCAGCCTTAGGAGTCTGGAGAGGAAAGGGAGGGAAGAGAATGCCTAAAGTTAGTTCCCATCTTTTGCTTAGTTCCTTAAGCAGGGCTTCTGTGCTGCCCTGATTTTACTCTTGAAGATGTTGGAGCATAGATCTGAGTGGAGCTGTAGCAGGCATGGGAGGAAGCATTGTGTCTTAAGGCAGTGGCAGGAGAGAAGCAAGAGTGAAGCTCCAGCAGTTTCCCCCCTATTTGATCCTTCCACAGCCATGCCTGACTGCCTTCTGCTCCCTGCCAAAGTACCTGCTTCCCTCCAACCTCTTCTGCTACCAGGTTTCTTACAGTGTTCTTTTCTTTCTTTGGCCCTCTATGATGATCTTACAGGAAGAAGCCAGCAATCACGCTAGTTTCAGCAATTGGAACTGTATCTCCAAAGAGCAGCAGCCTTGTTTTCATAATCTATTATAACTTTAAAGAGCATTACCTCACTAATTAAGGGTCTTACTTAAAAATGCACAAAGGTAGCCTCTTCTAGCGTTTTGGAGTTCCTCACTGAGAAAATGAGCTTTAAAAAAATTCTTAAAAGTATTATATCCTGATTTGAAATAAGACCTCGAGTAACCAATTAAAGAACCACATTTGTATGTATTTTTTCCTAGATAGTGGAGTTGGAGCAGGGATTGATTCATATTATGAATATCTATTGAAAGCCTATGTTTTGCTTGGAGATGACAGTTTTCTGGAAAGATTTAATACAGTAAGTTGATCCAGCTTTGTATTAACTTTAGAACCAATTTAATTTGGGGGCCAGATTTTGATAGAAACTTATCTGAGTGATATTCTGAGAAATACTTTAGTTTTACATGTATAGTCATTTTTTTGTCGGTATTCCCCTATGATGTTGGACGGGGACAGGGTAAAGGCTATATACATTCCAAAAATTAGTTTACTATTAAGTAGTTTTATTTTCAAGGCTTATCAGAAATTTTTAAGATCTGCCAGTAAGGAATAAAATACATGGTTTTGAGTTTTACCTAATCTACTTTTATACAAGGAAGAAAATTTATTGGAGTTAATTACTGGTTAGCTTTCTCTTTTGAACTCTAATTCTTTTTGAAATCTTGGAAGTTTGGCCTACTCCTTAATCGTACCAAATATGCAGGGCTTTGAAAACTTGGAGAAACTATTGAGTATTCATTTCCAAAGTAGGTCTGTAAGTTTTAAGTCTGGGTAAGGCATATTTTTAGGGGACAGGTAGTGGATTATTGAACCTGATTGGATTGCCTTTGTCTGCAGGTGAAGCACAGTGAAATTAATACAGCAGACTCATCATTTGTATCACTGTACTCTTTGAAATAATTTACCTTTCCAAAAGGTAAATTTGCCCACCTGTCAGTTCACCTGCACTGCTGTGAGACCATATGATATAGTGATCAAAAGTATGGGAGTAGTTCTACTGGAATTTAAATCTTGGAGTAAAACTGGTTTTGTGGTTTTGGCAAGTTACCTTACACTACTTGCCTCCATTCCTCATCCACAAAATGGGAATACCAGCAATATATAGAGAGTTTTTGGGAGGATTAAATGAGATAAAGCATATGAAGTGTTAGAACAGTGCCTTAACATCCAGCAGTACTCAGTAACAGTTATTAAATAATAAAAGAGTTGGGAAAAAAAAGTAAGAATCCTAATAAATCATCAATTGAATACTTTAAGAAACACTATCACAAAAATTGTTTATTAGTTTATAACAAGATTTTCTTAAGGTGAATGAGAACAGATACTATTTTTGCTGGTTCATTATCATTCATTAACTCTAACAGCTTAACCTGTTGTTGTCAAAGTTGAGAAATACCTGCAAAAAGAAGATAAAAGAAGGGGAAAAAAAGTGTTCTTGAGGGCACAAAAGGCAGAGGTAGCTGACCATAAGTGGCACCAGTGATAAGATAACATTAGTTTAGGTAGTGTGAGTACCAGAATATTATGTTAGCTGGGAAGAGACCAAACATTAAGCACAGAAGATGAAACTAATTCTTAATACAGAGAACTGTAGCTGTATTTCAAGAGTACATAAGAGCATCCTTGAGTCACAAGGGCATACTAGCTGTGGGCTAATCTTAAACAGCAATGTTCAGATCTACTCCCCCCAGAAGATTCCACATTGATTATAGTCTTTAATATTCTACAACAGAGTTAAAGAACACGAAGGAGTATATATTTTATATATATACATATAATATAGATTTCCATCTAAAACAATCTAAATCCTTATGTAGTTAATAATTAGTAAGTTTATTTGTATATAAATTCAGGTTTAATTTCTTCATGATGCTATTTAATGAAGTGCTGTTTTTAGAATATCACATCTTTTTTTCATCTGTTTTCATGAACACATGTTGTGGTCTTTCAGCACTACGATGCCATAATGAGGTACATCAGCCAGCCACCTCTTCTGCTTGATGTGCACATCCACAAGCCCATGCTGAATGCTCGGACTTGGATGGATGCTTTGCTTGCCTTTTTTCCAGGTTTGCAGGTAAAAAAAACCCTCCTATTTTCTTAATATTGAAGTAAAATTATTGTAATTACATGCATTTGTGACCTCTAAAATTGAGTTACCAAAATGGAGTCACATTTCAAAATTGTTATAATCTACATTTTTCTGTTTATAGAATGATGATAGATAAAATCGGCTTATGTTATTGGGTAATTTTGTTATTGTTGACTTCTAGGTCTTAAAGGGGGATATTAGACCTGCTATTGAAACACATGAAATGTTGTATCAGGTGATTAAAAAACATAATTTTCTACCAGAGGTAAGCAAATAATCTTTGGAATTCTAATTTAATGTACTATAAATTAATAATTAAAGGTAGAAAAAGTCATCTTCAAGATTGGTTTGTGCTTTTTCATTTATTTTTTCCTGGTTAATTTAATTATTTTTCATTTATACAGTTTTGTATGTATTTTCCTCATGTATTAAGAGAAGTCAGGTTAAGGGTAATGCTGACATTTTATTAAATTTATGTTAAAAAACAAATTAGTTTTTGTTTGACCTTTTCTAATCCATGCCATTTCCTATTGCCTCATTCTAATTTTCACGTATGTATCAGTTAGGAAGACGTTTTTACTTTTTATTTTCTAAAGCTTATTTTATGAAAATGATTTATATTGAATATATTCCTGCTGATCACACATGCTCCTTGAAATTGGAAAATCCAGCTCTTCCTCGTGCTGATTGGAAATTATTCTCTCTGGTTTTTTTTGTACATTATATTAGTAATAAATAGTCTTGCTAGCTTGATAAGGCAAGATTTCAATAGCATACTCTTTGGCTTTCCAGAAACATTAAAATTTTCCAAATTTGTAGATGCCATAGTTCTATCCCTGCTTATTCATTCACTACCCTCTGTGAGATTTTGAAGCATTTCACCAATTTAGAATGCTTTCTAAAATGTTTATTTTAGGAAGTAGAGTTTTTTCAGCTTTCAGGTGAGTGCATGGTGGAAAATAAGGTTTTTAATAACTATACCTTATCACAAATGAGGTTTTATTTGATTCCCATAAAATTTTTTGTTTTTATTTTAGGTTTTTTTTTAATCAATAATGCCCTGTTTGTTTCACATAGGATTTGAGGTTGATATGAAAGTGAGCATTTGTGAAAATAGAAATATGAGAACAAGGAATTTAAGAGAAAAAGTGGAGATGAAAAAAGAAAACACAATTATGTGTTAATTGTGGCAATATTGAGTTTAATAGATTTTCCTAAGCTTTCTAATAACCAAATCATCATTTAAAAAAATCTGTTTAATTGTTAAAACTAGTAGCCTTAGCAAAAATGAATTGTTATTTTAAGCAGTGAAAATTTCATTTTATAGATGATGAAAATTGTTACCGATTTTAATTAGTTTTACTTGTTTATGATCTAATTTCTGTACTATCATATATTCTAGAACTACTTGTTAATTTTTTAAATCACATTTTTGTGTCTATTTGTTTTGTGCAGGCATTTACCACAGATTTCAGGGTACATTGGGCTCAACATCCTTTAAGGCCAGAATTTGCAGAAAGTACCTACTTCTTGTATAAAGTAAGCTAATTTACCTCTCTTTTGTTGCTTAGATCCCATTCTCTGTTGGATATCTTATTTTAGTAATTGGGCTTTAAAAGTTCTTATTTAATGCTGTAATGATTGGATATATAACAGTTCTTACCCATCTAGTCCATAGTTACTGAAAGTCACAAGAATTGTCATCTAAGTTTTATGTTTTTCCAAAATATTTATGTAAATATTTCTTTAAAGAGAAATTTTGTATTCTAGAGCTGGTTTCTAAAGCATGTCTCTTCCCTTCTTTCAATCAGGCAAGCCTTCTGGGTATTAGAAATTTAAGGGCTAAGATATACAGTTGGACAGCTTTCTAATTGTATATTTAAGAAATTCTATAAAGCAGAGATGCATGGCTTCTTTTCAAAGCCAGGTTCCATGTGACATGTTCTAGTGCCTGATACAACAATGCCTGGCACCTAGTAGGTACTCGATAAATATTTGATAAATGAATGAATATAGTAATATATAAGCTATATATATATATATGTATACATATATTCTCCTTTTTAATAGGCTACAGGAGATCCCTACTACCTTGAAGTAGGGAAAACACTTATTGAAAATTTAAATAAATATGCTAGAGTGCCTTGCGGATTTGCTGCCATGAAGGATGTTCGCACTGGGAGTCATGAGGACAGGTAAAGCAATTCCTGACATCCCTTTTCCTCAGAGTAACTCTGAAACCACACAAAGCATGACTAGCAGAATTCCAGTAAGCTTAATACTTTGACCAGAGGTATTTGAAGCTGCAAGCATTAGTTGATTGTGTTTATGTTTAAAACTCTCTTGAATAAAGCTTATTTAAAATTACTTGAAGAGTTTTTATTTTTATCATAGTGCCTGGCATATAGTAGGTACTCAAATGGTTTTTAAATAGATGAATAAATCATTGTTAAATTCCAGAACCTTGGTGTTACCATTAAGAATGTTGGGGTTTTCTTCTTTGTTAATATTTTTTATATTATGTAAAAGATTAGAAATTATTAAGTGTTGCACGGTCTAGATTATGATTTGTGTTCAATTAGGAATTCCTCACGGCAGTATCTTGCTTAATGTGTGTGTTCTTATTCTGCTGATGATTTGGAGGTCTGGGGAAGATCATTGGCAGTTTCTATTTCATTAGATACTTGCTAAATGTAGATAGCATGAAATAATTAAGTTATGAAAAGCATATTTTGGTGAATGTGATATTCATTAACACTCCAGGTATTGCAAGATCACTTATCTGGTTATTTTCACTGCATATCAACACATCTCTAAGTGAACATTAAAGCATGTTTGCTTATTCGGTTTGCAAGTACTCATTTCACAAATATTTATGAGGTGTCTTATGTGCCAGAGTTATACTGTAAGGATTAAAGATGAAAACATCTTTTCCATGATTGAGTCACTGAAGACAGGCAGCTAAGCAGACTTTATAGCATTGTATAAGTGCTGTGAGAACATGAAACAAAAATTGGGCTGAGATAGTCACTGAAATGTTTCTGAAGGATCCTTTCTACTGAGAGATGTACAAGAATTAGAAAGTAGTAAAAGGGGTTAGAGGCAGATGGACTGGGGGTGGGTGAAACACGACACTCTCCTACTCATAGACCCTCCGTTCATCCTTCACTCAGTGTGTTCTCATAAAGTTCGTTAGGCCTGGAACCTCCTTCCATGACCAAATCTGAGGAGAAGTGGGTAGGCTTCGGGAAATGGGCATGCAGTTAATAGCAAGAAGTGATCAGTATGATCTGTACCATTTATTGACTGCTTCCTACATACCGGGCACTCTTCTAATCAAACACTTTTTGTGTAAAATTCATTTATTTTGACAACAGGCCTTTGGAATGTAATTTCTATTAAAATGTTCATTTTACAAATGAAGAAATTGAGGCACAGAGAGGTTAGGGAACTTGCCAAAGTTCATACAATTAGTAAGGTTAAGTCAGAATTCTAATCAATGCAGATTGGCCCCTGACGTTATGTTATACTGGCAAGTTATTCAAGGTACAATAATTAAGCACCAACTGTATTCCAGTCACTGTACTTAGTTGTGAGGGTGGAAAGAGAAATTAGAACCAGTCCCTGCCCTCCCATGACTTAGAGTTAATGAAGAAGAAGGGTATATAAAGAAATCGTCACAACCATGTGATATGTGCTGCTGTAGAGGGAAGAGGAGCAGTAGGTTGAAGAAATACAAAGAAGACATGATTTACTTTATGCACAGTTCCAGTTTTCTAATTTAACACCCCCCCCCACTGAATGTTCCTTATATGACATTGTTTCTAGACCTTTTACCACTGTCTTTGCCCCCTTCTGACTGTATTCCAATATATAGAGTGTCTTAAAATACCTACTCAGAGTTAAGCATATTCAGGATGTGCCCAGCAAAAGAGCACTGTTACCATCTAGATTCAGGTACAAGATCGCTAATTTTCTGAGGGCCTGATGGGCTTATGCCCTCTATCTAACTGAGGATCACTCCCTCCTCAGCTCACTGTTCCCTGTGGCAGCATCATACCTCTCAGGTGCATTAGACTCAACAAAAGGTTGAAAAGTACTAATTTTCATCATACTGTGTTATGTGTTTTAGGGTTTTTAGCAGCTTTACTGTAATTCAGCTCACAGTGAATTTGTGGCTAGTTGATCACAGATACTTAACAATGGCTTACTGACAAATGACTGTTCCTGCCTTGCTTTTGAGCAACTGATTTTTGGTTTTTTTTGGTTGTAAAATTAGAACTTTATACTTAATCCAGCAAAATGTCATTTTGTTGGGTTTTTTGCTGCTTTTTTCTAGACTAGAAAGAGAGCTTGAATTTTATCTCATGTATTAGCTAAATTAACTATTTTCAGTGATAAGCATGTCTGAAAAATTTCCATCTGAATTCTTGGGAAGAATTCTGGACAGGATCACCAGTGCCTCATGGCATGACACTTGAGAGGTTTTAGTTACAGGCTTTGTACATTTGGTTGCTTATTCCCCTACGGATCTACTAATGCTGTCACCTGACTCAACCTGTATCCGCACACATACACACACACTTTTATCAAAATGGAAATATCTGTATTTTCCTAGTAACAGATGATCACTGGAAAGAATTTAAAGATAGAAAGAATGTAAAAATCTTCCCTGAGAAACTCCCTGCTTGCTTACCCTAAGGTGATCTCTGTCTTCCAGACATTTTTAACACCTGTGTGTTTGCATTTATATATATTTTTATGATTTTTAAATGCAACTTAGATTATTTGATGATACCCAACTTGCTAGCTTTACCTAACTCATACTGTTCTTAACCACATCTCTCTATTCTATTCTAAGTGTTTACAAATCATCTGTTCATAATCAACTCTAGAATTTCTCAAAAATCAGAATCCTGTTCCTCAGTCTACAGTTCTCAAGCTAGCAGTTGCTCATGATAGTAACTGTCTTCCAGAAAAAGTTGAATTATCATAAGTGTACTGCAGGTTAACAGGTACACAGGGAAGAGTTTTATCTATTCTAACAAGATTAACATCTAAAATGTAACAACCAAAATGTTGAGACATTACAGATGAGTTGTTGTTACAGAATGAAACAGCATTTATGTATAGGAAAAGTATCAGTAGCTCTATTTTTGAACTTATACGTATGCCAGGTGCTTTGCTAAGCAATGGACATGTAGTGTCTCACTTAGTATTTACCCCAATATTAGGGTGTATTATTATGGCCTTTACAGAAGCATAAACTGAAGCTCACAGTCCTTATATGATATCCCATGGTCAACACAGCTGGCTAGTCAATGGAAGGTCTTTTCTATTTCTAATACCCATGTTCTTCATCACCGTGTTCCACTGCTTCTGCAGTTCATTCTTTAGTAATGCTGTTTAAACTTGCATTTAATTCAGTCCAAGTGTATTGAGGGCCTACTATGTGCCAGGAATTGTGCCAGACGTGCAAAACTATGCAGTCTGTACAGTAAACTACAACTTACTGCTGAAAAAACCTAGGATGCTTTGAGAGGTAGTAAATCTAATCCAATTTCATATTACTAAGAGCTAAGCTCTTTTTCTGCCACTTTAATTTTATTAAAGCTTTTCTTTAAAATATTTGTTAAGGCATTTCAACATTAAATCACTTGTAAAGTTGTGTACATTTTATTCCTTTTATATTCCTTTCTTGACAGATATTTAAATATTTACAAAGACTAATTTTGTGTTGTGCTTTTTTCATGGAACTTTTTGTAAATAATTTCCTTTCCCATTAAAGGCTTGTTTATCACCTAAGTGGCTGTATTGTAAGCTCCATTAAAATTGTATTACCATACCCACTTTGATTAATATGAATTGAAAATTCATGTCTGGTTCTCAGTAGTAAAGTTCATGTGTATTACCTCCCTGCTGTTGGTTCTCTATAGAAGAAATGGAAAACTCTTCCTCACTGGAAGGCCAATAGGAAACTCTTGACAAGATTTAGTGCACCTGTGTGACAGGCTGCCCTCTGGTATTTCTCACTTCCTTGGAATATGCTTGGCATCAAGGCTGTTACCACCAACGGACAAATACATTCTATAGTTCCTTCGACATCAAAATTGGTGTAGACAGGTTTATTGACCTTGACTCAATGGCTTTCATGTAGTTGGCATTTGGATATTTTTATGTTCTTAGATTTATTTGTAAACTTTTATTTTAGAATGGATTCTTTCTTCCTGGCTGAGATGTTTAAATATCTCTACCTGTTATTTGCGGATAAAGAAGATATTATTTTTGATATAGAAGATTACATCTTCACAACAGAAGCTCATCTGTTACCACTCTGGCTCTCTACTACAAATCAAAGCATCTCTAAGAAGAACACAGTAGGTTATGTTTTTGAATTAAATGTCTTGTTCTCCTTTTACTTTGCTTTTTTTCCTAAGTGAATAGAAATCCATGACTAGATTTCAGTAAATAAATGTGTGATAGGAGGAAACGTACACTTGATGTTTTCTTTTATTATATCCTACTACATACACTTACGTTTCATTTAGTATTTCCTTTGAGTAAGCTGTAGTGTTAAGTAAAATAATTATTTTTATGTAATATTTTTTTATATAATAGGCTTCAGAATATATAGAACTGAATGACAGTAATTTTTCCTTTGAATAAACTATAATATTAAGTATAATAATTTTTTTTATGTAACATTGTTTTATATTGTAGACTACAGAATATATAGAACTGGATGACAGTAATTTTGACTGGACTTGTCCAAATACTCAGATTCTCTTCCCTAATGACCCACTGTATGCTCAGAGCATTCGTGAACCCTTGAAAAATGTGGTGGATAAGAGCTGTCCTAGAGGCATCATCAGAGTGTAAGATGTATTATTTTATATTTGCTAATATCAAAGTTAATTCTTAGGAAATGGCAGAGAATGTAAGGAATATAACAGCCAAGAAGACATTCACTTAGACCAAAAATACTGAGGTATGTAGTTATTACTGATTAAAATTAAAATTGTTAAGTTAGATAGCAAAGTTTATTCTGTAATAATATTTTTATTATTATGGATATTTTCTATGTCTCTTTTGTTTAATGACCTAAGACTAAGAGTCAGTGAGCAGCATATAATTTACCTTCTGTAGCTCATTTTTGCACAGAACACACTTTTCCTTTTATGTATAGTTACTGTGTAGGAAAAATACAGCTTTTTGTTTTGTGTGATTTTTTTCATGAGGTACTTACTCTTCTTAGTTGCTAAATAAAATTTTTTGGCTTAATGACTTCATTTTCTTTCAAACACATTCTAGGCCATTAGTAGGAAATGAAAACATTTTTTTAGTATTATCATTCACTGATAAAAGTATTGTTTTACTTTTAAAATATGGGAGGAAAGTCTTTTTTTTGAGAAAGAAACAATAGTAACAAATCTCTAAGCAAAGCTCTTTACCTTCACATGCTTTTGTAAATGTAAAATATATTTGAAAGCTATACTACTTACTTATAACCTAAGTTATATGTAGGAAAATAACTTTTCATTTAGTCCAGCTTCATTAGTTCTAAAACTAGCAATTTTACAAATATCTGATATTATTTTTATTTGCTTTATGTTTTTCCCCAGTTCTGATTTATAATTTTTTAAGCCTCGTCTATAATTACTTTTAGCAGAGAGGAGAGTTTCAGGAGTGGAGCCAAACCCCCTTTGAGAGCCAGAGATTTCATGGCCACCAACCCTGAACACTTAGAAATCTTGAAGAAGATGGGGGTGAGTTTGATTCACCTCAAAGATGGGAGAGTCCAGTTGGTTCAACATGCAATCCAAGTAAGCCATTGCTCTACTAATTAGATAACACCTCTGCCCTTTTTTGTCTTACTAGCTTTAAGAAGATAATGACATTTGGCTTTTTTAAAACTTTCAATATATAGTTTAAAATTAGAGGATCAGAATTTTAGGATTTGGAAGTATCTTGAAATGTCATCTAATTCAACTCCTTCATGGTATAAATCAATTATATCACAAATCGGTTGATGGATGGTTTGCTTAAGTTAATATAGTCAAATGTAGGACTCAAATCTAAATTTTCTGTTTCTCAGTCCCTTGTCCTTCCACTGGTTTATTTAAAGCATAATGTTAAACTGTGGTAGTTTTAGTATTTATGTCTCTATAGTTTACATTATTTTAGTTTCCAGAGACCCACTGAATCTGAAGTACTTTATTCATTATAGAACTAAAAGTTCACGTCTTGCTGTCTGTGCCTATAAAAGGCAACTTGGTCTTTTGGGAAGATTTTATTGATTTTTGCTTTAAAATTTTTTTGCTTTTTGTAATATGAGATTAAATTATTCACCTTATTAGTACATTCATTCTGAGAAAACGACATAGTTTGCTAAATAATTTCAACCTAGAAACAATATCAGATATCCCTTAATCTCACATTCAACCTTTCCAAAACTCCCCCTCCCCCTGAGATTTCTGTCTCCTCTCTATTCTCAACAGAGCCACCCTTCCTTAAAGAGCATTCTGCCTACTTCTGTGCCGCATGCCCTCACTCTCCAGTAGCGGGAACAGCATCTCTAATGACATCACATTCACCTAGGCCACCCATGACATAATTGCCATTTGGGGCTTCTTAATCTTCATATGCTTGAACTTCTCTGTAACGATTGACTGAACCCTTTTTAAAGCATATTGCTTTCTTGGTTTCCAGGGCATTCCAGCAGCATGCATCTTTCCCACTTCCCTTTTCACTGCTTTGTAGGGTCCCTTATAGCTCTACTTTCCTGGCACAACCACTTAGTATAGACGCTGCCAAATAATCTGGATCATACCCTTTTTCTCTATATACCGTCCTTCAACAGTCTCATCTATTTCAATAAGCACAGCTGTCATCTTTGTACATGATTTCTGAGTTACACATATGCTATTCTTGATTCTTATCTTTACTCTTAAACCCAACTTTAACCTACCTGTCATACATTTCTGCACATTAATCTCAATCTGTTGAAACCTGAATTATCTCTTCCTGACCCCCCCACCTTAGACTACCTTAGATTTGGTGGAAATCTGATTCTCAGTTTGTATCAAAAATGGTTTATAGAGCAGTGAAAAACACACTGATAAAAATTGCAGATCTTATTCTCAGAAGATACTTCCAGAAGTAATATTTTTTAGGACACTTAAAGCCATTTATATTTGATAAGGACCAAAACTTAAAGGAGAAATTTTAGAGGAGAAGACTATAGTGCAATAATAATATTCAAAAATTTTTAAATTGGCAAGTTTCCAGAAAGAAAGGATAAAACTAATCTGTTTCTTTCCTAGGCTGCTAGCTCTATTGACGCTGAAGATGGGTTGAGGTTCATGCAGGAGATGATTGAATTGTCAAGTCAGCAGCAAAAAGAACAGCAACTACCTCCACGAGCTGTACAAATTGTTTCCCACCCATTTTTTGGCAGAGTAGTATTGACTGCTGGGCCAGCTCAGTTTGGCCTCGATCTGTCTAAACATAAAGAGGTGTGTATACTTAAAATATGCTTGTTGAAATTTAATTTAAAGTATTAACTATTGTCTGATTTCTTAGTCTCTTTTCTAATTTAGTAGTTTTATTTTCAGAACCTAAATATTCAGTCTCCCAGACTGAAATGGATTAAAGTTAAAAGCATATTCTGAAAAATTTGAGCCATTATTTATGTATAAAATAAATATGCTTATAGAATTTTACTTTAAATATTGTTCAGATACTAATTTCTTAGTCTGTTCTCTAACTTAATATCTTTAATTTATCTAAAAATGGTTTTCAGAGTTTTAAACTACTGTTAGAACCTTTCTTTAAACAAAAATCGAACTCAGAGGTATCATGTAGAGAACAGGTGAAAGTCGAGGTGCTCTAGCTCAAGTGGCCTTGGAGAGCATAGAGGCCGAGGTTCCATGGAGCAAACCTGGAGGACCACTGAGCTAGCCCATCCTTTTAGTCTTAATATAGGAAACAGAGCCCTGCCCAGCTGAACCCTCACAAGTTCATCTAACTAACTGGTTGCCGAGCTGGGACCTGAACCCAAGTACCCTGATAATCTAAAGCCAGGGCTCTTTGAACTTTATTGTCCCTTGTTTGTCTTTTTCTTTCTAGCATTTATTTTAAAGCTTTGTAAGTTTATAGATTGATTCATCTACTCAACAACTCTTTATTGAGTCTCTACAATATTCTAGGCACTATTGAAGATGTTTGCTGTCTATCAGGTTTATAGAACCAGTGAAGATCTATGCTCTTTTGGAGTTCTAATTCGAGGATAGGGAGGGATATTGAAACAGCTTTACATTAACATCTTTAAAATGAATTCTCTGGTGGATCTGAATTTTCTGGGAAGAAGAACTACTTGCAGATTCATGTAGACTAAATCCATTTATTTCCTCTTCCAAAATTTTCCTCGTTACTTATGAGTTTAAAAATGTTTAGGAGCTGTTGGAAGTGTGTCTGTGGATATGTAGTGCATCTATCTGCCTACAGGTTTCAACTTTACCACTTACTAACCTTGTATCTTTGAGCAAATTATGTAACCTGAGTCTCAGTTTCCCCATATGTAGAATGGAAATGATATTTCTGTTTTATGATCATCTGTTTTACATCCCTCACAGTCATTAATAAAGATCAGATTTAATAATTTATGTAAAAATGCCTTATAAACTGCAAAGCACAATAGAAATGTTGGTTAGGTACTATGTTCAAAACAATGTTTAAAACAAAAATTTACACTAAGTATGTATTGGATATATTATCATTAGAAAAGAAATGAGGTCTACTTAAAGCTCCAGATACTGAATTTTAATAACTAGATAGTGTTTTGAGAAGATAAAAGCATATTTAAGTTACTTTTATTTCTGACAGACAAGAGGATTTGTTGCAAGCAGTAAACCATACAATGGTTGTTCAGAGCTTACTAACCCCGAGGCAGTGATGGGAAAAATTGCTTTAATACAAAGAGGACAGTGCATGTTTGCAGAAAAGGCACGCAACATCCAGAATGCTGGGGCCATCGGGGGCATTGTTATTGGTACGTAATCCTCCACATCATCTGTTGACTAGTAGATAATTTTTAGGATTTTTCCTTTTCCACAATATTATCATAGAGTTTGTCATATTATTTTTACTACACTTGGTAGCATAATGGATAGGTAATCATTATTACCTCGTAATAATTTACATATCTCTCTCTCTTTTTTTTTTTTTTGCAAGTCTAGATTTGGGTTTCTGTATATTGGTGCCAGTAAAAGTACTCTGGTGTGAAGGTAGGATAGGAGTGAATGGAAAAAACACGCAATACAGGATAAGGAAATATAGTCATGAGATCCAAAGCCCATGAAGGGCAAGAATTGCCCATTGCCACCTCCAACAGAGGGCTGTTGAAAACATCCATTCCTCCTCAAGATGCAGGCTTTGGAGTCAAACACATGGCAGTGCAATTCCTGGCTCTGCCACAAAATCATGGTGTAACCTTGGCCCAGCTTTAGTCTCTTTATCTGTTTATTCAGTAGAATAATTTCTGAGCTCCACCTCAAATATCTTAGGTGGTTGTAATGCTTGAAGACAATATGTGCAAAATTTCCTGGTATAAAAGCTGATATATCATAGGTATAAGCAAATTTTTATCTCCTTGGGTCTTCTGCCACTGAAATGATACACTTCAAATCATTTTGCCCATGTATTTCAATTAGTGTTCTGCTTTTCAGTTTTTATGGAAAATCATTTATGTCATGAAAACTACATGATTATCAGGGAAAATATAAATTTTTTATGCTTAAAGTAAATAGGGAGTTTATATTCAGAACAAATTGGGAGACCTGCAGTCACATCCTAATTGTGAAGTTAGTTCTGTATAGCTTCTCTCATAGGGGAAATCCATTTTTAATTTTTCTACTTAGGATAGATTTCCTTTTTGAATTCAGGGTAAATAAAAACTAAGACATTTAAAATAAAACATCAGTATTTATTTCAGTGAAAAAGTATTAACTGTTCCTTTTGCTTATTCCATATGGGCACTCCAGTATTGATTTAGTGAATGCATAAATTTCATTAGTTAAATAAGCATTCAGAGAAATCTACTTAATAACTTAAATCAGCAGTTGGCAAACTACACCCTATAGGCTAAGTTCAACTCATTGCCTGTTCTTATAAGTGAAAGTTTTATTGAAACACAGCCATGCCAGATTGTTTACATATTGTCTATGACTGCTTTTGAGCTACAGTGGCAGAGTTGAGGGGTTTCAACAGAGAATTACAAAGCTAAAAATATTCCCTATCTGGCCAATTACAGAAAAAGTTTGCTGATGCCTGACTTAAATGTGTCTTTTCATCCTTGGTTATGTTCCACACTGAAATTATTTTTGTTGAAGAATTTAATAGCTTGCCATCACTATCATTTTGAACATCTCTTACTGAGACTTTTAGAAATATAAAATGATTTTTAGATATTCCCTATATTTTGGTGGATATATAGAATTCTTATGGTATTCTGTATTTAAATGTTTTCTTTGGTAGCTACTAATTACAGAATCCCATACTGAGTTCTGTGGGTAAATAAGAGGTAATGATCCTTATTCATAGAAAATTTAATTTTTAAAGGGGAACTTTCTTGTGTTGTAACTTCTTTCCCCTAAGTTTTTTTGTTTCTGATTAAGCATTTTGTTTGGTTTTCACTGGCTTTAATTGTATACAAATGAGCAAATTAGGACTTAGTTTTTTATTGCAAGAATTAACAGTACAAATTATCTTAGAAATCTTTTGGCTCCAAGAGACAATAATTTATTGAAGTTGCTTTAAGAAAAGAGATTTGTTTACTATTTGGAAAGGGTTATTTTCATTGAACCCTAGAATAGGAAATACAGTGGAGTTCTGTAAAGAAGTAGAAGTGGAAACTAAAACTCATCAGGGGCCATGATCACTGGCATATTTTACCCCCGTCTCTAACTCTGGGTCCTCCTGGATTCCCTTCTCTGCATCTCTTTGCAGCTGTGCTCCATTCTCCAGCTTCCCACCAGCCTGCTCCCTCTTTGCTCATCAGTTCCAAAATGGCCATTTTAAAATTGCAGCCTCAGCCTTGAGTCTGTCACTTGACTGGACCACTGCTCACTGCTAACTGATAATCTATCTGTGTGCCATTTCCAGAACCCCAGAGAGGTTGAGGGTCAGGTAGCCATTCTTTGTCTAATCAGTTGTCACTAAAGGGGTGGGCATTCTATACTAGCAGGGCCTATCCGAGCAAGCTTTCTGAGACAGGCAGGTTCTCCAGGGAGACTGGCGTGTGAGACTGGAGGCAGACGTGAGTGACATCACCAGTGAAACAGTGTTTAGAAGTCCTGCTACCATTATTTAACCAGCATAAACTAAAAATAGTGTTTAACTCAACTTACAGAGGAAAAACCACTATAGTCATAATTTTCTTTGTGAACTGTATATAAAAGAGAACTACCAATTTGTAGTTTGGTAAAACAATATAATGCCATTAGAGGAAATCTTAATAAGATTTCATTCATAGTTCTATCATTATAATCCAGGTCTTTGAATTTCCCCATCTTTAGGCTTTTTCATAAGCAATGAAATTTGTTACAGTCATAACCATAGAATTTCATGTTAACTTTTTCATGTAATAATAATATCCTGATTTTCTGTGTGTTCCACCAATTAATTAAAATTTACTTATAATACTTTGCAGTAGTTTGCAGTTATAAATAGCACACCAGTAAACTTCTTTGGGCATAGATCATTTTCCTTCTTTTGAATTATTTCCTTCAGATAAATTTCTGGGAGGTAGAATTAGTGGGCCCAAAAAGTCTGGTAGTTTTTATGGTTCTGGCTGCATAAATTAATACTGCCAACAGGTAAAAAACAGTAAAGATAAGTAGATAGGCCTTGCTAATGGACAAATGTTTCTGTTTGCTGTGTTCATTTTCTGGCTAGATGACAATGAGGGGAGCAGCAGTGATACTGCCCCTCTGTTCCAGATGGCGGGTGACGGGAAGGACACAGATGACATCAAGATCCCCATGCTATTCTTATTCAGTAAAGAAGGCAGTATCATACTGGACGCCATCCGGGAATATGAGGAGGTGGAAGTGCTCCTATCTGACAAAGCAAAAGATCGAGGTAAGGATACAAAATTATTTGATTTTTATGCAGTTTTGTATGAATTTTACTAATTTCATAACAAAAATGAGTTACAAAAATTACTTTAGGTTCACTGGTAAAAAAAGATAAAATTTTTAGAAGATGATTTCAAAATACATTTTTCTTAGGAACTAAGAGTTGTAAAACATTTATTTAACTTTGCTGATTAAGATGTTTTAGAATTATATTTTTATATGTGATTATAATTTTGCTATGATTCTGTCCAGTGAAAAAAATACAAGAGATTACATCAAGAGAGTCAGTTTTATATCCACAGATGTTCACCATTCAGTTTCACTGATAATCATATCTTACATGTCTTCTATAAGGAACAAAAAGAGATTGTATATGTATCCAGTATAACAGTGGTTGGGTTTCACCAGGCCACCTCCAACCAAATGATCAGTCTTTCCTACCAACTGGAGACACACAGAGAGCTATTACCCCTCTTATCTCCCTTAAGTGGATAAAGTCATATAATTTGTCCAGGGTTGTTGAATCCTCTGGGATATTGGGTAGACATGTGGGAAATTGATTCAATTCAGTATAACTTTCAAGTGTAACAGAAAAAAAAAAGGTTAGCAACAATCTAGTGCTAGCCAGATCAGTGTTTTGTCTTGTCCTCTTGTATTATTGCTTTATTCTTCTTTGAGAGTCTTTCAAATGTCAACTATTTAAGAGCAGTGGAGTAAGTAGGATGTGTGCGTGTGAGGATACATAGACAGAAACAATGGAATAGAAAGAATTTCTAATCTTGTCCTTCTCTGTACCTGATTTTTGTACTGAGTCCTTTTCTAAACTTGGATCTTTCTTTCTTTCTTATATGTATTTAGGAGCATCAAACACAGGCAGATTATTATTTCATATAACTCTTTAATGCCTTTGCTTTTCTTCCCCCTACTTTGTGCTACCATTGGAATTTCAGCAGCAATATTAAAAGGTAAAATGATTCCAAGCTACATTATTAATAGTAGTAAGTATCTTGCATTAATAAGCCTTAAATTATATATATATATATATGTATGTATGTGTGTATGTGTATATGTACATACACATATACACACACACATGTGCCGTACATATATATGTATATAAATATGTATCATTTTGTTTCAGTGGATAACCCCACCTTAGACTACCTTAGATTTGGTGGAAATCTGATTCTCAGTTTGTATCAAAAATGGTTTATAGAGCAGTGAAAAACACACTGATAAAAATTGCAGATCTTATTCTCAGAAGATACTTCCAGAAGTAATATTTTTTAGGACACTTAAAGCCATTTATATTTGATAAGGACCAAAACTTAAAGGAGAAATTTTAGAGGAGAAGACTATAGTGCAATAATAATATTCAAAAATTTTTAAATTGGCAAGTTTCCAGAAAGAAAGGATAAAACTAATCTGTTTCTTTCCTAGGCTGCTAGCTCTATTGACGCTGAAGATGGGTTGAGGTTCATGCAGGAGATGATTGAATTGTCAAGTCAGCAGCAAAAAGAACAGCAACTACCTCCACGAGCTGTACAAATTGTTTCCCACCCATTTTTTGGCAGAGTAGTATTGACTGCTGGGCCAGCTCAGTTTGGCCTCGATCTGTCTAAACATAAAGAGGTGTGTATACTTAAAATATGCTTGTTGAAATTTAATTTAAAGTATTAACTATTGTCTGATTTCTTAGTCTCTTTTCTAATTTAGTAGTTTTATTTTCAGAACCTAAATATTCAGTCTCCCAGACTGAAATGGATTAAAGTTAAAAGCATATTCTGAAAAATTTGAGCCATTATTTATGTATAAAATAAATATGCTTATAGAATTTTACTTTAAATATTGTTCAGATACTAATTTCTTAGTCTGTTCTCTAACTTAATATCTTTAATTTATCTAAAAATGGTTTTCAGAGTTTTAAACTACTGTTAGAACCTTTCTTTAAACAAAAATCGAACTCAGAGGTATCATGTAGAGAACAGGTGAAAGTCGAGGTGCTCTAGCTCAAGTGGCCTTGGAGAGCATAGAGGCCGAGGTTCCATGGAGCAAACCTGGAGGACCACTGAGCTAGCCCATCCTTTTAGTCTTAATATAGGAAACAGAGCCCTGCCCAGCTGAACCCTCACAAGTTCATCTAACTAACTGGTTGCCGAGCTGGGACCTGAACCCAAGTACCCTGATAATCTAAAGCCAGGGCTCTTTGAACTTTATTGTCCCTTGTTTGTCTTTTTCTTTCTAGCATTTATTTTAAAGCTTTGTAAGTTTATAGATTGATTCATCTACTCAACAACTCTTTATTGAGTCTCTACAATATTCTAGGCACTATTGAAGATGTTTGCTGTCTATCAGGTTTATAGAACCAGTGAAGATCTATGCTCTTTTGGAGTTCTAATTCGAGGATAGGGAGGGATATTGAAACAGCTTTACATTAACATCTTTAAAATGAATTCTCTGGTGGATCTGAATTTTCTGGGAAGAAGAACTACTTGCAGATTCATGTAGACTAAATCCATTTATTTCCTCTTCCAAAATTTTCCTCGTTACTTATGAGTTTAAAAATGTTTAGGAGCTGTTGGAAGTGTGTCTGTGGATATGTAGTGCATCTATCTGCCTACAGGTTTCAACTTTACCACTTACTAACCTTGTATCTTTGAGCAAATTATGTAACCTGAGTCTCAGTTTCCCCATATGTAGAATGGAAATGATATTTCTGTTTTATGATCATCTGTTTTACATCCCTCACAGTCATTAATAAAGATCAGATTTAATAATTTATGTAAAAATGCCTTATAAACTGCAAAGCACAATAGAAATGTTGGTTAGGTACTATGTTCAAAACAATGTTTAAAACAAAAATTTACACTAAGTATGTATTGGATATATTATCATTAGAAAAGAAATGAGGTCTACTTAAAGCTCCAGATACTGAATTTTAATAACTAGATAGTGTTTTGAGAAGATAAAAGCATATTTAAGTTACTTTTATTTCTGACAGACAAGAGGATTTGTTGCAAGCAGTAAACCATACAATGGTTGTTCAGAGCTTACTAACCCCGAGGCAGTGATGGGAAAAATTGCTTTAATACAAAGAGGACAGTGCATGTTTGCAGAAAAGGCACGCAACATCCAGAATGCTGGGGCCATCGGGGGCATTGTTATTGGTACGTAATCCTCCACATCATCTGTTGACTAGTAGATAATTTTTAGGATTTTTCCTTTTCCACAATATTATCATAGAGTTTGTCATATTATTTTTACTACACTTGGTAGCATAATGGATAGGTAATCATTATTACCTCGTAATAATTTACATATCTCTCTCTCTTTTTTTTTTTTTTGCAAGTCTAGATTTGGGTTTCTGTATATTGGTGCCAGTAAAAGTACTCTGGTGTGAAGGTAGGATAGGAGTGAATGGAAAAAACACGCAATACAGGATAAGGAAATATAGTCATGAGATCCAAAGCCCATGAAGGGCAAGAATTGCCCATTGCCACCTCCAACAGAGGGCTGTTGAAAACATCCATTCCTCCTCAAGATGCAGGCTTTGGAGTCAAACACATGGCAGTGCAATTCCTGGCTCTGCCACAAAATCATGGTGTAACCTTGGCCCAGCTTTAGTCTCTTTATCTGTTTATTCAGTAGAATAATTTCTGAGCTCCACCTCAAATATCTTAGGTGGTTGTAATGCTTGAAGACAATATGTGCAAAATTTCCTGGTATAAAAGCTGATATATCATAGGTATAAGCAAATTTTTATCTCCTTGGGTCTTCTGCCACTGAAATGATACACTTCAAATCATTTTGCCCATGTATTTCAATTAGTGTTCTGCTTTTCAGTTTTTATGGAAAATCATTTATGTCATGAAAACTACATGATTATCAGGGAAAATATAAATTTTTTATGCTTAAAGTAAATAGGGAGTTTATATTCAGAACAAATTGGGAGACCTGCAGTCACATCCTAATTGTGAAGTTAGTTCTGTATAGCTTCTCTCATAGGGGAAATCCATTTTTAATTTTTCTACTTAGGATAGATTTCCTTTTTGAATTCAGGGTAAATAAAAACTAAGACATTTAAAATAAAACATCAGTATTTATTTCAGTGAAAAAGTATTAACTGTTCCTTTTGCTTATTCCATATGGGCACTCCAGTATTGATTTAGTGAATGCATAAATTTCATTAGTTAAATAAGCATTCAGAGAAATCTACTTAATAACTTAAATCAGCAGTTGGCAAACTACACCCTATAGGCTAAGTTCAACTCATTGCCTGTTCTTATAAGTGAAAGTTTTATTGAAACACAGCCATGCCAGATTGTTTACATATTGTCTATGACTGCTTTTGAGCTACAGTGGCAGAGTTGAGGGGTTTCAACAGAGAATTACAAAGCTAAAAATATTCCCTATCTGGCCAATTACAGAAAAAGTTTGCTGATGCCTGACTTAAATGTGTCTTTTCATCCTTGGTTATGTTCCACACTGAAATTATTTTTGTTGAAGAATTTAATAGCTTGCCATCACTATCATTTTGAACATCTCTTACTGAGACTTTTAGAAATATAAAATGATTTTTAGATATTCCCTATATTTTGGTGGATATATAGAATTCTTATGGTATTCTGTATTTAAATGTTTTCTTTGGTAGCTACTAATTACAGAATCCCATACTGAGTTCTGTGGGTAAATAAGAGGTAATGATCCTTATTCATAGAAAATTTAATTTTTAAAGGGGAACTTTCTTGTGTTGTAACTTCTTTCCCCTAAGTTTTTTTGTTTCTGATTAAGCATTTTGTTTGGTTTTCACTGGCTTTAATTGTATACAAATGAGCAAATTAGGACTTAGTTTTTTATTGCAAGAATTAACAGTACAAATTATCTTAGAAATCTTTTGGCTCCAAGAGACAATAATTTATTGAAGTTGCTTTAAGAAAAGAGATTTGTTTACTATTTGGAAAGGGTTATTTTCATTGAACCCTAGAATAGGAAATACAGTGGAGTTCTGTAAAGAAGTAGAAGTGGAAACTAAAACTCATCAGGGGCCATGATCACTGGCATATTTTACCCCCGTCTCTAACTCTGGGTCCTCCTGGATTCCCTTCTCTGCATCTCTTTGCAGCTGTGCTCCATTCTCCAGCTTCCCACCAGCCTGCTCCCTCTTTGCTCATCAGTTCCAAAATGGCCATTTTAAAATTGCAGCCTCAGCCTTGAGTCTGTCACTTGACTGGACCACTGCTCACTGCTAACTGATAATCTATCTGTGTGCCATTTCCAGAACCCCAGAGAGGTTGAGGGTCAGGTAGCCATTCTTTGTCTAATCAGTTGTCACTAAAGGGGTGGGCATTCTATACTAGCAGGGCCTATCCGAGCAAGCTTTCTGAGACAGGCAGGTTCTCCAGGGAGACTGGCGTGTGAGACTGGAGGCAGACGTGAGTGACATCACCAGTGAAACAGTGTTTAGAAGTCCTGCTACCATTATTTAACCAGCATAAACTAAAAATAGTGTTTAACTCAACTTACAGAGGAAAAACCACTATAGTCATAATTTTCTTTGTGAACTGTATATAAAAGAGAACTACCAATTTGTAGTTTGGTAAAACAATATAATGCCATTAGAGGAAATCTTAATAAGATTTCATTCATAGTTCTATCATTATAATCCAGGTCTTTGAATTTCCCCATCTTTAGGCTTTTTCATAAGCAATGAAATTTGTTACAGTCATAACCATAGAATTTCATGTTAACTTTTTCATGTAATAATAATATCCTGATTTTCTGTGTGTTCCACCAATTAATTAAAATTTACTTATAATACTTTGCAGTAGTTTGCAGTTATAAATAGCACACCAGTAAACTTCTTTGGGCATAGATCATTTTCCTTCTTTTGAATTATTTCCTTCAGATAAATTTCTGGGAGGTAGAATTAGTGGGCCCAAAAAGTCTGGTAGTTTTTATGGTTCTGGCTGCATAAATTAATACTGCCAACAGGTAAAAA